TGTTACTGCAGTGTTTTTACTTCAGGGCTACCACACAGAGTTTGTTTTGCCATGTTATGGTTAATGTGGTTATGGTTATGTTTTACAGCTACATTGTAACTAAAATGTGTTTTACTGTCCCTGCACAGTGCTTTGCTTTACAGTTAAATTGTGCAATGAGTTGCAGTCAATAGTGTGTTACATATATGTGTTTGTGTAGCAGGAACCTCCCCCCCACCCCCGGCCCACAATCTAGAAATCCAAAACAGTGGCTTCTCTGTAGTAATGAAACCTGCAAGCTGTCATGGAATGGCAACAACTGGGGAATCTAAATAAATGAGAGTATAAAAACACACTGAAGTATGATTTACAATTTGTTGCAGCTCCAATTAAAAGCAAAGTGAAATCTTTTTGTTAGACTTCAGAGCGGGCGTGAATGCGCCCCCAGGACGGGTCCGATTTGCATCACACGGCAGCCCACATGAATCTCCCGCATTTCATTAATTATATGACCTACATATCCCTGCTTTAATATTCCAGTCTGGGGAAAAACCCATGCGAAGCGGATGCCTGGGAAGTCTAAATCTGGAGATGTTCAGGCCATCAGGCCCCACCCAGTGCCCTGCTCTGCCCTTTCATCTCCTCCCCCAGCGGTGATCACGTGACAAATGCATTGAGACGGAACTGGGAGAGAGAATCACTGGACCCCCGGTCAGCTGTCAGCCATCACCATGTGTCATACATACGCATTCACTCCTTACCAGACTGTGAAGTATCACCATGTGTCATACATACGCATTCACTCCTTACCAGACTGTGAAGTATCACCATGTATCAAATGCATGCGTTTACTCCTTACCGGAGTGTGAAATATCACCTTTTGTCAAACACACACATTCACTCCGTACCACAGTGTGAAATATCACCATGTGTCAAACACACACACTCACTCCTTACTAGAGTGGGAAATATCACCATGTGTCACAGACATTCACTCCATACGGTGCTGTAAAACACTGTAAAATATGTATGAAACACACATATTCACTGTGATCTGTGATGCTGCCTGAGTGCAGCCGCATGGCAGAGAGCCGGAACATTCTGGGAGGTGCTTCATCCCGCCACCATGCTGGAAGGAGCTCATCCTCCGAGCTACTGAGAGGGCAGCCATCTCTCCCCGCGTTACACCACATGCATACGGCTTTTCAAAATCCGACTGCTTTTCCCTTTTCATCTCAGCCCAGCAATAATATTTACAGCAGACCCCACTACAAATAAGCGGACTACTTCATCTCTGCCAATGATGTGCAGGAAGAAACGCGGGAGAAAGAATAAATGGCAGCTTATCTGCACAGACCTGTGTGTGAGCGTGGCCTAGAGGCCGGCTCCGACGTGAGGCACTCATAGAGTGAGGGTGCCGGAACGCAGCCATGAGCCGGACGGACGGGGAGCCGTGTGCTCTCTCTCTGCTGCCCGCTTATAAATGACTTTGAGAGCTGCAGAAACTGAGCATTAAGAAACGCTTTATTTTATTTAAAGCGAGCCCATCTTGGCGGAAGCCTGCCAAGCAGAAACAGGGAGCAGCGTGCTCGTTTAGAAAGCTCATAAATCCTGATTTGAATGGGTCGGGCCTGAAGGGTACCCGGCATCGCTCCATTTCCAAATGCTACGTCTGATTAAGTTCTCCCATTAAGTGACAGCTGAACTTTAACATTAATATGATATTATTTAAATAACTACGTCTTATTTACTTTGCACCAAAAAAATGATGAATGATCTCTGGACAGCTCCAGTGACACAGGACAGGCGGGCCCAGTAATGAGAGGTGACAAAATGGAGACATATGCAGAATATTGGTTACAGTCGGCGTCCCCGGGCCTGGGGCCGGGGCCACGCCAGGCCTGATTGTCTACACGCACTGAAGCATCTATTTCAATTGCTGCTTCCTCCGTGGGCCGGATTTTAAATTTAGTGGGTGTCATTTACATATTACTGTTAATGAGAAAGGCGGCGGTGGTGGCGGGAGCGGTGGTGGAGCGGCCCCGCCGGGCGGCCG